GAAGTGGTAAATGATATAATGAGCTATCCATTATGCATAATTTAATACAAACTACCATTATTCCTGATGCTGTTTTCCATATGTATCTAACTTTTATGTCTGGACGTTATTGACAATCATCAAAATAAATAAAAGCTTTAATAAATTTCTTAATCATAGATCCATCTACATCTACAACATCAGCTTCAACAACTACAATATTGAAAGTTCCATCAAGCAGCAACCAAAGTCACACATAGTTTTTAGAGCAAGCTGTTTTATTTTCAATATTATTATTTATTCAAGCAAAGTGCTTGAATCCCCTTGACAGCTTCCACCTAGACTGCTAACCCCTCAATTAAGTCATACAATGACAAATGCTAGATGACGAATGGCATAATGGCCGCTTCGTTGCCCAGATCGAAATACTAGGACATGATTGAATTAAAGGGGGTAAAAATGAAATATTGGAAATAATTCGAAAAGTTTGGGACGATTTTAAAAAACATTGAAGTGGAAGAACATTTTGTACTTTATATTTCCTGTTTTTAAAAATGAATCATTAAATTTTCTTGATCACTACAAAGATTTCGAAATTTATTGCATTTTTAAAAGTCTTCTATGTGTTTGATCAATATTGTTTAAATTGAAGTGGTTGCAAAACTAGGAAAACTTCTGACAGCTTTGATAAATAGTTTGCTACCATTTAAATACTTTGGGTGGACCTCGGCGTGCTATGTCTATATAAAAAATTCAGTACGATGTTATCGGATAACCAAATAAAAATAATTAAATCGAATAAGTATTTTTTTTAACTACCAGTGTATAAAAAAAGAAATTTTAATATAATATTTTTTCAATAATTGAATATTCTGTTAATTGTCTTCTGCGCGAGAATTTAAAAATTGCGAAAACTCTTTTTCGCAGGCAAAATAATTAAATTACACGTAACTGTTACTCCTAAGAATTTTTAAGGACCGGTAAAAATTAACTTCTGATTTTGGAGGTAAATAATTCCGTAAAATATATTTCTTTGCATAATATAGAAGTTTTCGTAACAGCATACCTGCCAACTTTTAATTCTTTCATTATAATTTTTCCCAGTGGTATTGAAAAGGAATTAAAACTTCAATTTTAAGTAAACAAATACGTTGTATTTGAGATAACTTAAGTTGACAACCATGATAGTAACGCATATTAATATATGTGCATAATTTTTGTAAGAATAGTGGTGATCAAAATCATTTAAAAATTAAATTTATAAAAGAAAAAATAGTATATACTTACTACCACTTTAAATATGAAAATGAAATCTTTTGGAAAATTCGGAAGAGTTGACAGGTATGTAACAGCGTTTTTTCCATAAATAAACTATACCACATATTCATATAACACTATTCACTTGAATAAAAATAGTATTTAAATAAATATTTTAAGAAACATTAGAATACCATGTTATTAGTTTATTTTTATTAAATTTAAAATCATTTCTTTTATCGTATAAATCAACAAGGTAGATATTTTCTTTTTTCAATATTGAAATCTAAAATATTAAAAATTATTATTATCATCATGATTGCGAAGCAAAATTAATTCCTGGGGGTAAATATTATTTAATAACATTTTATAATTTTAAAAATTAAAGATAATTAAATCATCAGTAAATCAAAAAGTAAATTTAGTATTAAGAGTTTACTTTTTTTATTAGTAATAAGTGAAAAAATAAGTTTAACAGTGATAAATAAATAATTGTTTATCAATAGTTGTTATAGAATGTTTATCAACAAACATAGAATCTTTCTCTTCGTCACAGTTGGATATATTAATTTTCCCTAACTTTTTACTATAAGATCATTATAATTAAAAATAGTTCTACCAAGGGTTTTATCATTTTTATAGCTTTTAATTACGTTAAAAAAATTTAATGGAAACAAATTATTTAAATATTCAAAAATATTATTAAATTTAAACTTATCGAAAATAAGATTTGGAAAATTGATAACGAAATATAAATTATCTAAATTTTTCTTTTTATTTAGTGAAATTTTAATCATTTTAGCTTTTACAAGATCGAAACAAAGACTATTGAAGTGTAAATTAATAAAAGAAAAGTATATAATAAGATATTGAAGCTTGTAAAGATCATTATCCTTAAGAGAAAAAGCAAAATCTTCCATTGGTTTAATATTAAAATCTTCCTTAAAATTTTCTTCCCCATTAGAAATAAAATTTAAATTTAATTTGTCACTATTAATAGAGTTTTTATCACTTCTTGGTCAAAGTGAGAAATAAAAGGATGAGATTTCCGCATTGTGCCAAGTCTTTGTTCAATTATCGCCAAGTCTTGGCAACTTCCGGGCAGCAGCATGCGAAAGTAAAAAATAAAAAACATTACAGAAAAGGACAAACTCGAGAAGTATAATTCATAGCACCCCCAAACAAACATATATGTTTTTTTTTTTAAATTTTTCAGTTTAAAATCAATTTGGCGTCTTGGCGATTGTAGTTGGAATGGCAGATCACGATACTGTAATATCCCCATTGAAAATGTGACAGAATGGCATTGACTGAACTTCATTGGTTATAACCAGTATTAATAACAACCAGTTAATGTGATTTAATAAATTTGCTTGAATTATTTGCTTTAACCAGCTTATTTGGTTATTATTACTATTGATCGGTTAGTATTAATAACAGCTAACTATTCACATTGACCGTAACATATTTATCCTTAAACGTCAATTTTTCAAATTACACAAAATATTTTCTTTTCAAAATGTACAATTGTTGTAGCTTTATGTAATAACATATTTTTTAACATGTTTATCATAAAGATCATGTCTATCAAACTCTATGGACGCTAACCTAGATTTGAAAAGTAAGCATCTGAACTTAAAAAATATTACCTATGAAAAACGCATTGTGTGATTCAATAATAAAAAATCAATGCAAACTAGTTGTAATCTTTAACGAAACTCATAACAATTTGGGATGATTTTTATCGTTCTTTGTTGATTTCTTCATACTAGTGGGCTGCGCCCCCTGCTCGCTAACGCTCGCCAATCCCTGAAAATTGCTGCGCAATCTTATGTGGTTTGCTTCGCAAACCAAGCTCTCTTCGCTAGCTACTAACTTAGGTACATTGCAAATGCACAAAATTCTAAGAATTCAAAACAATTATTCAATTGCTAGATCGCATTAAGCTTATTCAAAATACCGCGCATATTTCTGCCTAAAATTGTGATTAAAATTCCAGTTTATTACCACTCTGGAAAAGCATCCTGTAAAGGATTAAAAAGTTGGCAGGTATGATGATGTTCAATGCTTTGGCCAGATTAGAAGACGCACCTTATACTATTGTGTACTACTTTAGTGCCCCTTCTCAAACATATTATCATAAATATATTGAAGACATCTGGTAAAAAATTTATACTTCTTTCATAGGCGTATTTTTTTGCAAATATGCAACACAAATAGGAATGCTGTAAGAATAAAATATTGTTTATTGTCTTTGCACATTCTGTTTAATTTACAATTTCCTCTCGCAGGTTTGGACCCCACGTTATCAACCCTATGAGTTTTTTTTTTTACTCATTTAGGTATGTTTGCCTTACCCTTTGAATTTTGCCATGTTATTTTTAAAACACCGTGTGTATCAACTTTTCTCTTACATCGTTTTAATTTTTTTTCGTTAATGATTATTACCCATTGGCAAAATGGGTCTTGGTTTAGATTTGATGGCGTTCTCACACTTTTCAACTACAATAATCAAGAGTAATAGTAAACAGTGCGCATGTGTTGTTATGGCGACCTCTGCTGTTTGATAATTTTTTTAGAATTCTTTTTTTTTTCACTCTTAATTTTGTTGTGCATTAAGTTGGTGAGTTTATTTTTGAGATATGGTACCAGAGAGATCCCATAAATACTTCTTGAGTTGTGAATAATCGAGAATTTCATCATTTGAACGATATTTTTGTTTTAATTAAGAATCAGAAATTCTAACCTACAGTTCAAACTGGATCGTTTTCAATACTAATTCAGGTGACAATCACAAATAAAGAGGGTCCAAACTGACTGACACGATCCCAAAAGTTAGAGTTGAAGCAAGAAAGAAAATTTTGAGTCAATATTTAAAACTCAAGAGGAAAAACAAACTTTAATTTTTGATTTTAAGAACATATTTTTTGTTTTAAATGTTCTTAGCTGATTTTGTTTCTAAATTTTGGCGATAAATAAGAGTTCAGGAACAGAAAAACGAGCTGCATTTGTGACGTTTTTTTTATGCCGGTACTATATAAATTTATAATTATGAATAACTATTAATTCAATCATCAGAAAACATCTTGTAGCGATATAGATTAGTAGGCCTTTAACCCTTTCGCGCCGACTGTCACAAAAACGTGACAGCAAAAAACCGTATCAATCAGGGTAGAAAGATAAAACTGGTAATCAAAGTAATTCTTTAGCAGTTTATTTGTGAGCGGAGTTGTAATTGTTTGATTTATTTAATTCACCATTACTTTATTCAAAATAAAACTATTCAGTTATACTTTGAATTAACATTGAATATATATATATGATTAAACTAACAATAATTAAAGTAAAAGCAAAGTAAGTCTGTCAAATTAACAACGACTGCATTTAAGTTACCGCTTTTTATTTAATTACAACTTGATTCTGATTTTGTACGAATGCTATTCTGAATCACCCGTCCCCAAGGGGTTAAGGAAAATATTGGGGGCAATTACTCCCACTCAAAAAATTGCATAAGCTCTAATGTTAATTTAAAAAGCAATTTTTAATGACGTTTAACAATGCTATTTAGAAATGTATTTCAACAATGGTTGTCAAATAATCGAAATGATTCGTTTAGCAAATATTAAGATTTGCGTGCATTTTAAGTCAACAATGAAATTCTCTTATTATTGTAATTTATTCTATTCTATCTTACTCATTTGAGTTGTGTGAAATCAAATGCTGTGAATTCAAATAAGTTAACGTTATTTAATACAAGATTTAAAATGGCGAAAGGTGTGAAACAAATTTCGAATGATAAACGTGCTAAGCGCGTTAAGAAGGCAATTAAAATATTGCAAAAGGAGAAAAAATATACTATCCTTGGCTGTATTGGAGCAGGCTCTTTTGGACAAGTGTTCAGAATGAGAGAAGCCTTGAACAAATCTGAGCTGGCAGTAAAAATTGTGCCGTACGAGATGGTGTCAAAAGCCGAGTCTGAATTATGGAAAAATCTAAGACATCCCAACTTAGTCTCCTTGGTAGGCATGCACAAATTGAAGAGACAAAAAACTTTTGTCTTCTTGATGCCAGTATATCGAAGCACATTGCTTGATTCCATTCAAGACGCAGCCTTTCGAGAAAAGAAGGGAGCTTATAATATCGTGAAGTGTTGGCTGAAAGATGTGCTCCAAGGTTTGGACTATCTTCATTCTAACGGAGCTTGCCATCTTGATATTAAACTTGACAACGTACTCCTATCAGATGAAAATTCAGCACTCCTGTGCGATTTCACATTCTTGAGGGAGTCTAAAAAACCTCTCCACAAGTACGTATTTGGTTTTCAGTTATTATTTCATAAATGAAAGGATTTAGTTACTTCTGCTATCAAATGTAGTTTATATGGAATAGATGATTTTTGTGCTCTGGTAGCTTATGATTTTCTTTAAAAAAATTTATATATGTAAACACTGATTTGTGTATTACGACAAAAAAATTCTTTTTATTTTTAAAAAAAAATTTATTTTGTAAAAAACATTCTGATAAAACATACATAATTATTCATTTTAACTAGTAATGGGTACAAAGATCCTTAATATAAGCATTTGAAATTGAATGTTTAAAAAATAATCGTGTTAAGTTTATAAATAACAACATCTATCTTTTGAAGTAATTATTTTCTGAACTAAAGATTATAAATAATGCTATGTTTTAATTCAGGTTCATTATTTACAATTTAATGAATTGAGGTTGAATGAATACTGTTAAATGTCGTGGTAGGCAACTTAACTTAAAAATGAAATTTACTTAGCCAAAAATCAACGAAAAAATTTTATTTTGTGTTGTTGTTTTGGCGTTCTTAGTTTAAACTTTGATCAATAAGATCTAAATGACGTTGATTCGTTATTGCTATAAACTAGATCTTTAAGCAAGGGAAAGTTTGACAAGCGCTGCAGAGCTTTTGAAACAACCTAACATCATTCGTGTTGTATGAAATTTAATTGTAAAAAAGTTAAGACATTCAGGGTTAATTTCTTTGAATTTCTACTTAAGTTTAGTTTTAATACAATAATATAGCTATTTTACCACAATTTAGCACTGTAAATTTAAAACAATGCTTCTTATTTATTAACCAAAAACAAAACTTTTTGTTGCAGACAACATATAGGCGTGCCACTTGTATACCAACCCCCTGAAGTTGTCTTGTATAAAGAGAGAAAACACCTTGATGGAACTAGCATAGACATGTGGGCGTTCGGTTGTCTGGCTGTGGAACTACTTAGTTATTTCGCCATAACAAGAGCTGCACCTACGGACCAGAGAAAAGAAATGTATACGACAATACTTAACCGATTAGAGGTATAGTTTTATTTCATGCTGTATAATCTCACAGATCGTACGATTCAGTACCTAGTAGATCACCTATGCCGTGAGTGGGTGATAACTTTTATTAGTCTACGAAGAGTTAGAGAGAATGCGGTATTGGTCCTCGTTAAACTGTTCTATCATATAAACAGCTCGACTTCGCATGTGGGTCTACCAAAGCGGGAGAGTCATTCCCTACGCAGAAGATCAAAATTGGGATGTCATGTCTTTGGATGATACTTGCACCCAATTTACACGAGGACAAAAAAAGGTATCTGAAAGCAGTCTTTCGATGACGCAAGCCTGAAAAAAATTTTGTCAAATTTACACCATTTCTGATGTTAAGAGCACCAACTTGTAAGGAGTAGCGAAAAATAACCACGTGACACAAGGAGTTAATCATCTCGCTCTTGAATTTCGGACTGACTCGAAGTTTTCTTCACCAGGCAATGCTTGTCTGAAAGCAGTCTAGGACAATCTTAATTAAAAAAATCTGGTTTACGTTCGTCTGGTGACATCACGAGCATGATACCAGGCCTCGTGTAAATGGGAAGTTAGGGATGTTTCCCTGACAACAGCTCCAGTTGTGTTGTAAATTGAGTACTACTACTACTAATCATACAGTTTGAAATCAGTTTAATGCATTTCTTTTCAACGAACTTAATTTGAAATTACCAAACATTAACAGCTGCGTAGTTGAAACTTCCGAATTGAGACACCCACACACTTCATTTTCTTTGGTCATAAATCGCTTCAGTTTTAACCCTTTCGCGCTGAATGTCACAAATACGTGCCAGCATAAAACCGTATCAATCAGGGTAAAAAGATAAAACTGGTAATCAAAGTATTTCTTTAGCAGTTTATTTGTGGGCGGAGTTATAATTGTTTGATTTATTTAATTCACCATTACTTTGCTCAAAATAAAACTATTTAGTTACATTTTGAATTAACATTGATTATATACAGGGTGTCTCAGTTAAGCGTTTCAGAACTTCTAAGAGGGGTAGGGGGCATCCTGACGACTGGAAATCATATAGCAATGTGGGGTCGGAGATGCTTTCCTGAAGCGGTGACGTTAACAGAAGCACCATGAAGAAAAAAGACCGTAATTGAAAAATCGCTATAATAATACATTGAGAAAATTGTATGGTACATGGGCCAAAGTAAGTGTTCGAAGTTTCTACCACCGGCTACAATGTACACCTCACATCTCCAGCGCATGGACATTCGAACATTCTGCAATACTCCAGGCATATCTCGCAGGCAGCTACTGCGATTCTTGCAACCCGCATTATCAACAGGGGTGTCATAAACCAATGTTTTCATATGACTCCAGAAATCAAGACATGATAGGTCGGGTGACCGAGGAGGCCATATAATTTTTTCAATGTATTATTATAGCGATTTTTCACTTACGGTCTCTTTTCTTTATGGTGCTTCTGTGTACGTCACCGCTTCAGGAAAGCATTTCCGACCCCACATTGCTATATGATTTCGAGTCGTCAGGATGCCCCCTACCCCTCTTAGAAGTTCTGAAGCGCTTAACTGAGACACCCTGTATAACATTAAACTGACAATACTTAAAGTAAAAGCAAAGTAAGTCTGTCAAATTAGCAACGACTACATTTAAGTTACCGTTTTTTATTTAATTACAACTTGATTCAGATTTTGTACGAATGCATTTCTGAATCACTCGTCCCCAAGGGGTTAAGCAAGCTATTTTATTTGATTTGAATACCCACGTGCAAATTTTATTGTGATTAAATAACTCCTACATTGATTAAAAAATTTTTTTGGTTTGTAATTAAAGCAAAAACGTTTTCAAAATAGATATATTACATTTTTATTATTTTTTAATTTTTAAAACTAGTTTTTAATTATATTAATATTTGCTTTAACCATCTCTATACTTTAATTTAAGATTTGATGAGTTTCGAAAATTAATTTCAAATGTGCCAGCGATCACCGACATGATTTTTAACTCAATTAAATTCATTTTTGTTGCTTTCTGGTACAAATACTTATCTTTCACAAATACTATTAAAAAAAAATTCTTTCCTTTGAATCACTCGGCAAGGATGTGTAATGTAATGTGTGAATTTATGGGACAAATATAACAAGAATTTTATAGGACTTTAATAAATTTAGAACTAAACATAAATCGAATTTATAATAACTATAATTAATATCTAAATATGTACTAGCTATACTTTCTTCGCAGGAAAATAGCTTACTGTGGCCAATAATGACAAAAATCTTCAGTGCTGATGACTTGCTTGAGACAGATGTGAAACTTGCTCTCCATTTTATTAAAGAGTTTTTGAAATTTGACGCGTTGCACAGACTAAATGCTTCTAAAGCATTGATGCACGACTTTTTTCACCAAGATGATGACAGCATTCATAATAACGTAGATGCTAAACACACACCACCGACAAATAGCACTGCGCCTTCGCTCCACAGCGAGCATTTATCAGTAGATGAAGCTGCGATCTTAAAAAATATTGATGCAGAAAAGACAAAAACTCTTTCCGAAAGAAACAGGATGCAAGTGAATGAAACCCAAATGAGTGAGATTGTAATAGATAAATCTACGGATGAACAAAGTGTGCCAGGACCAGGAACGGAGATGATAACACTGATGTTGGATACTCTTTCCGTAAAGAGCATCAAGTTAGAGGATGAGTGCGGTATGAAACCAACTGACAGTGACGAATCAGACAAGGAACAAAACGTGACAAAAACTGAAGATAACACAAAGATTGATATGGAGAAAAACATTGACCTCATTTTGCTTAAAATGACTGAATTGACAGATGAAGTGAAATACCTCCATATCAAAATGGAGAATATGGAAAAGAGAATGGAGAATCTCATAAAGATAAATTCGGTTGATAAAAACATGAACGACGAAAGAATCGCAAAAACAGGCGAATCAGGGAATCTAAGAAATGAGATAAACGGAGAATCTATTGTTGATAAACCCATTGACAGTGTGAGGATAAACTCTGATGAAGTAGCGATTGCTCATAAAGGTAAGAACTCTTAAAACAAGTATAAACAAACACTTTTTCTTTAACCGATTTTGTTGACTTCGATACTTCAATTACTTAACAATTTTAAACGAACTTTTTTCCTTCGACCGTTTTCGTAAACTTCGAAAAACGTAAAGTTTAATCACTTTAGTATAAACAAAGAAATAATAAGCACACATACTCTTAACTACAAAGAAAATTTCGCGGCAACTTTTATTTTTGTTTAAACTTCATTTTTGTTACCAATAAATTAATTAAAATATATTTCCTCCATTATAAGATGTGTATAATTTAAAGGCTTAGATAAAAGTCTGGTAATCAATAAGTGATGTGCTAGTATGATTAATAATATCCATGCAAAACCATTTTATGCTTAAATAAAACTGTACCATCTACATTAAGTGTAAATTTAGGATTTCGATAATGTTTAAGAGTTAATTGTATTTCTACGCAGTTTATAAGGTGTCCCGTACTTTCTGCAATTAATTTAAATTTTTAAAAGGAAGGCAAAATAGTCTACTCATTGGGGATAGCAAATATTAATTTCATCGAGGATGAAACAAAAAGGCAATCGAAATCTAACAAATCCTTATTTAAAAAAGCGGGAAGTAAAACATCAAAACAAGATAAATAGTCCGTTTTTGAAACTGTGAAGTGTTTCTAATAATCATGGTATTACTCTTCACAATTTTAATAATCAAACGATCAATACGTTTACTTGTTTGGGTTTATTTTAGAAAAGGATAATAAAAACCCAATTTAAAATGTGTCATGACAAAACTTTCGTAATTGTCATAAATGGCTTAAGGGCCGCGATGGCTCAAGGGATAGACGCTTCACCTACCAATGAGGTAACCAAGTACGAATCCCAGCATAGACTGGTTGATACGAAATCTACCCCGTCTGACACCAAGCACAGTTCTAACGTGAAATATCTTTCATGGTAGATGAATCATGGGTTATTGTTCCCTTGCCGTCAGGCTTACCGCTAGAAGTTTTCTTCTCATTATAACGCAAATGCAGGTTAGTTTCATCAAATAGTCCTCAACGAGGGCTAGTTTGTACCAATGCTTCATCCAAATGTTCCCTGGGTTAGGTTCAAAACACATAATTGAACATTGATAGTCGTAAACTCAAAATTGGGTCGTCTTTTCGACGGCAGTTATGAAATAAAAATAAAATATCTATATAATTACTGATTTATTTTTGACAATATGCGTAAAACTTTTCTTTTTTTAACATAGAGATTACAGTTAAAAAGGAAAAAAAGAGAGGACGTGCTTTAAAGTGGGTGAGAACTGCTTATAGAAGCGTATTTAGTTTATTCAAGAAGAGAGGATCAAATTAATTACAAGTAAGTTCTTTATTTTATAATTTTCTTTAAAAAAAACTTGAAAAATTATGATACAAATATGTGACACTTAAAAATTATTGTACTGGGCTCAGAATATCACTTAAATGCCTAAGATGGGGTCATAGATATGATCGCAGACTATTGAATCGCGATAACTCATAAAACTAATTAAAAGATAAGCTATTAATATAATACTCATAATCCCTGTAGCGGAAACCCTCTAGCACGGGATTGAGTGCTGTATATCATTTTATAATCTGCAGATTTTTCATCCGAGTTATCTTTTAATTATTAAAAAAAAGCAAAGGGACAAATAGCAAAAAATTGCTGAAACTCCTTTTTAAAATATCTATAAATTTGTTTTTAAGAGAAATTAAAAAGGTGAATGTCGAGAACACCGCAAAGAACAAAAAGTAAAAAAAATTTATGTTGCTTGAATACAGATTTAACTGTATACGAATTTATTGATATTTCTTAGGTTCATTGTATTAAATACAACTTAAATTTAAAGAATGTAAAGTTGTTAAATATAAGGACATTACATTTACAAATTTTGCCACATGTATGTTAGATTAAGCTTAATATTTACTATCTGTAATATCTGTCTGACTGCAACGAGACAGCAGACAAACTTGGATTCATGAATATAGATCCACTATCTACAGTGGGATGACAATGATACATTGATATGAATAAGCATTTCAATATATGACAATGAACAATGACAAGACAATGAACATTTTTATACGATTTCATAGTTTAATTTTAACCAGGAGTTTTTAAAACTCATTTGAGGGAATACTAAATGTCCCCACTTTTCTGATACATGGGTAATGGGGGGAAAAGACGATAATACATTTCAGTTTATGATGCGATGCGTTAAAGTCATACGTTTTTAAATGTTATTTTCAAAGGAGCAGACAAGTATATTTGTTTGTATATAAACCTTTATGTTCCTAATAAACTTGTACATTTAGACAAAAAATATACTAAACTGAAAACATCATTTTGAAGAAGAAAAAAATTTGTTTTTCGAAAAGAACTAATTTGAGATTTGAAATCCCCACACCCGAGTTAAATGAGATCACGTAATTGTACAATTTCAACAAAAAATTTTCACCCCAGTGAAGGAACTGAAAAATTTATTTTTGTCAGAAAAATTACCATTCAATCTAAAATCTCGCTTTCTTCTTGTATTATCATTTGTTGTATGCATCTTTTGTTATAATCATTAAGACATAAAATACTTTTCTTCCAGATTATATTATTGACAGACTATTGCTTTGCATGACGGACAATTTATAGTCATTGCAAAAAGCGACTTTAAAGTGAAAATTATATTGGAAAAATAATAAAATGGTGAAGACTCTTGAAAAGTGTTTCGTTGACGGACTTAAATCCTGAACTGACGTTTGGAAATTATGAAATGATGCTGACTGAAAGGCTTACCATTTATTAATATACGACGGAATTTTTTTTTGCATGACTGACTAATGTTTTGCAAGACGGACTATTGTTTTGTAAGACGAACTATTGTTTTGTAAGACGGACTATTGTTTTGCATGACAGACAATTTTTTAGTCATTGCAAAAAAAAAAGACTTTTACAGTGAAAATTTACAATGGAAAAGTAATAAAATGGTGATGAATCTTGAAAAGTTTTTCAATGACGGACTTAAATCTTGAGTTTTCATTTGGAAATGATGATGACCGAAAAGTTTACCTTTCACTCATGTACGACGGACTACTGTTTTGCAGAACGAACTATTGTTTTGCAGGACGGACTTCTGTTTTGCATAAGACAGATTATTATTTTGTATGACAGACTATTGTTTTGCATAAAGGACTATTGTTTTGCATAACGGACTTTTGTTTTGCATTACGGACAATTTATAGTCATTGCAAAAAGCGACTTAAAAGTAAAAATTTACATTGGAAGAGTAATAAAATGATGATGACTCTGAAAAGTTTTCATTTTACATATGTATGACAGACTTATGTTTTGCATGATGGACAACTTGAATCAATCCAGAAAGATAATCAAATTTTCTTTCTTAAATTATATTTACTGCTATAATGTTATTCTTCATTGTCTAAAACTGTTATTTGGTAAATGTTTCAAAATTTATTTATTTTCCTTTTAAGGAAATAAAGAATTATTTTCATAATACCTTTTTGTCGTTAATTCATTAAAATACACGCAATTGTAAAGATTCTATTTAAATCTTTTTTTAATAAATTATCTTAATTGTCTTATAACACATTATCAAACTCTATACAAAATTATTTATGCATTTTTTATAATTAAAATTATTAATAACCGAAAACGTTTTGATTGGTAATGTATAATTAGTTTTATTAATGTTAAAAAATGTGTAATAAAACATCACTTTTCAAAAGGATTACCAAGGTATTTCCTTAAATTTCATTTTAAATTACAGAGCTTAGTGATTTACATAGGTTTTAATATGCAAAAAAGAAATTGTTTATGATGTTTTACAATATTTAAAAAAAGAATCTTTATTGCAGACTTCAATCTAAAGAAGGAATAGCATTTTAACCGCATATTACAAAATCTTTATCATATTAGTTTTAGAGAACTTATTTTCGGTGACTCATTCAAAATAAATATGACCTTGGACACGACTTCTCCATAACTATTGCTCGGAGGCTCATTGAAATTCTTAAAACTTTAATCTAGATAATAACTGTACCCTGCGCGTGTTGCAACGCATCCATTCTGAATTGTAATTAAAAGAAATTGCGTATATCTCAATTAACACCATTTTATGTTCACATATCAATTTTTCTGTCCAATGTTAGTGAAAAAAATTTGACTATTTCGCGTTTCGCTGTTACAGCTTCGAATTAATCAGATGGTATTTAGTGGAGGGCAATTCTAAATAATTTAATTAACTGATTATGTTGATGGAAAAAATTTTGTAATTCAGCAACAATTTCTCGTTTAGTGTTCCGAGCATCGAAATGTTAAATAATTTTCTCAAAAAATGAAATTTCTGTTAATATTAACGTATATTTATTACCACTAAACGGTTCTGCTATTATTGACAAGATCACTGTAGCTCCATATCTATGTGTAGACATTAGCTTCGTGAAATCATTAGTTAGGTTAGACCCATTATTTATTAATTAAAAGGAAGGTAAATCAAATATGACATATGAGGAAATTTCTGCTAGCATTAACGTGAATTTTCTGCTACTAAACGGTTCTTTTATTATTGGCATCATCAGTTAGCAAAATCATTCACAATATAATGACGCTCACTGTTCGAAACTAGTGTTTTGTCTTGTTACTACATATGAAAGTGTAAAGAGTTTTGCCATTCTGCAAAACTTCACAAGGATTGAGTGATAAGTTGCAATAATATTACATTCGTCTCTTCCAGTCCCATGTCTGCACTAGCCTCTTTCTCCCCTACATTGTATACTTGTAAATAAATAGTCCTTTGAAAATAAAATAAAAATTATTTTGGCTCTACAATAATTTTGTGAACCCTTTATAAGCTATTTATTTCTCTGGATATAAAAACTAAATAATACTAATTTGCTAAATTGAAAATATTAATTCAGGAATTGACAGTAAATTTTGAGGACAAATTTCTTTTGAAAAACGAAAAAAAAATTCAAAGAATTTCCAAATAGCTTTTTAAATCGGATTATGTATTTTGAAAATTGATCAATAATTTTTTAGTCACGAGTATGTTACATTTTCAATTTAGCTACCGATTTTTGAAGAGTTAGAGAGTTAAGAATCTTCTGAGTGTACGCTTGAGAATTAATGGAGGTAAATTTTATTTGAACGCACAAAATATACAACTAAAAACATATGTACATGCTTATCATTTACACGTCAGACATTAGGCACATTGTAGTGATTGAATTCCTAAATTTTCAACAAGGAGTACATGTCTTTAATAAATCACCACAATTGTTAAAGCAACTAGCACTTGTATCCACCATTTCCATAAATGAGAACGATGAGCTTCATTAGGACTTCTGTATTCATTGGGTCCTTGACAGTGTTCTTTATTGCGGCCGATGCAAGCAGCATAGGCCATAGCGTGTGCTATGTATTGCTGGTCATACACGCCAGTAAAAAGATGAGCCATGGGTCCTATAGCGTACACACCAACATCTTCGCCTCCGTGTGATGCTGAGGATCGTGGTACAGTTGCTTGCTGCAGATAGTCTTTATTTGCTGTGGGAGGCAAAAAGAAAGATGCATCATTTCAAGAAATCATTTTCAAGAATCATCGTTTTAATATTTCATTATTTTCAAGAATGTACTTACAAGAGAACACTTTCGAAAGTAATGGGGTTATTTATTGCTGCCTGTCTTGGGAAAAAATCAGCTATTGACTGGGAAAGATCAAAGAATTTCAGCAAATTTCTCAATTTTCATAAAGTGAAAAATTTCTTAAAATTTTCCCTGAATAATGAATTATTTGATAAAATTTTCCCTAAACTCTGCAAAGTGTTCTCTAGTTTGTGACAGTAATAGAAAATGAGACAATCCTGTCACTGTACAATGGAATATGAGTATCATAAATTGAAAAGAATAGTCACATTTGGGTATAGAGTGTATCCTAGTTATTCACCAAACTATAAAAGTAGTGTTAATTACCGGGATTAAACGATCTTCATTGATAACACACACTCCAGGTCCAAAATCTGGTCCATCGTAATGTAGAACTTTATTTATAATTTAACATTGTTATTCCTTAATATGAGATTTCTTTAAAAACTGAAAAATAAGATTTTTACTATGTGTGTAACATTGAACGAATTTTTAAAAAAATATTCTTATGCTTTTGATCTATGTTTTTATCTGGTCAAGTGCTTAGTTATTTAAAAGTTATTTGATTATCAAATCAAATAGTTTAGAATCAACTCTATAGAAACATGGTGAAAAATCGTACGCTACAAACAAAAATTTAATCAATTATAAACAAAGGTTATTTTGTTCGTTTATAATGGGACTTGATGGTTAATAACTATAAGAAAATTAAACATAAGTTGTCTGAATTAAACCTAAAATACTAATGTCGAATTTTACCTAGAAATTAATTCTTGCAACAAATCAGAATATTAATTTAAAGTTGAAATCAGTCTGGAACTTGTTTAATGCTATAAAACAAAAAAAAAGTTAAAACAGTACTCAAAGTTTTCGAGCTTTTTTAAAAATTATTACACAATGTTGATAAATATAGTTCCAATTAAAAAATACTCATATGGTGCACAAATTAAACTAAATAATTCATGACTATAATTATAAACTAACATTGAAATCGCTAAGTAATAATCGAAATAGATTAAAAAAGTCTTTGAGTGAATTTTAAGATCCACTTATATTAAAAGTGAAAAACATTTTCATTAAACCATTGATAAATTAAAAAAATAGATTTTAATAAATTAAAAATAGATTTTTTTTTTTGCTTATAAAAATAAATAACTTTCAAAAACATTCTGAATTTTTGAAAACGTATTAAAGAGGCTACACTTATGGTCTTGACAGAAAATTTTTCCAGGAGTTCTGTTGAACGTGATTTGGTACAATGAAAATGAACATACCTGTATTAACACCTGTTATATTTGACCTGCCTTTGTCTGTAATTTTGTATCCGGGACCAGAAGTGTACATCAGAGATGTATATGGCATACGATCCACGTTTGAAATCTCAGCTATTCCTAAATAAATAAATTCATACCATTCAATGATAAGGAATAAGCATAGATAGTATCCAATATATGCTTATTAGGACGAATATTATTATGAACATTTAATTAAGGATTTTGTATAATATGCTGCTGTTGTTGTTGTTAATTTACGTCGCACTAGAGCTGCACAATGGGCTATTGGCGACGGTCTGGGAAACATCCCGGAGGATGATCCGAAGACATTCCATCACAATTTTGATCCTCTGCGGAGGGGATGGCACCCCCGCTTCGGTAGCCCGACGACCTGCTTGTATAATATGCATTACTGAAAACATATCCTTATAATGTAAATTTATAAACTATATCGGGCTCTTGAAACTTAAGAAGAAGAAGACCTCTGATACACAGACACGTGACTTATGACTTTAGTTGCAGGTGATTGTTTACAAACAAGAAGGCGCGTTAAATTAGAGCTAAATTTCTCCACATAATCTAGAATGTTAATTAACGTCACGTTAAATAAGTACAACGCCGTTTCGCATATAGAATTTGTTAAAATATAATTCTTTCTTGTCTATTTCTTTTATTTAAACAAGATTTATTATTTGCATGTGTATTTTATGGTAACTATGTTTGTTTTTGTATTGTGTTTCTAGAAACCTCGGGCCATAATTAGTTTGTTTATATTCTAAACAGCTTGGTGCCTGTCTTTGTGTTAAGTAAGAAATAAATAGTGAAAGAATCAGGGAAACCTTTGTGAAAGTGAATGTGTCCCTTGAGAGAATTGATACTTGGCGGGTTAGACTTACTCAAAATAGAATAGAAAGAACAATTGCTAACAAAAGCAAATGTCTCGTGTAAACAGCCAATCAGGATCGATATGCGCGCACTGCGACGCTTGCTGGCATTCATTTGTAATTGTTTTTGAAAAATGATGTTATTACTGATGCAGTATATTGTAATTGTTTTTGAAGATAATGTGTATTACCATCACCACCTACATCAAAAATATTCCACACGGTTTTATATAAGTACTCTGCGCGGACTATTTAAAAAATGAACCAGTGGTGCGAATGAATCCAAATAAACATTCGTTCGTTGTTGTAGAACTGGGCATCTGAGGCCTAAATGGCCCTTTTATTTTAAAAGCAAATGAGAGAAATTTATCATATATATTTGAGAATTGAATCTGTAGTGGCTGACAAGTGAATAAGGCAAACAAATCATATTCATAAATTAGACAAATTTTTAGACTTATGTTTGATACCAATTTCTTATTTTAACTAGATTCTGTGTAAAATGATTCTTTCGTAATGCCCAGTAATTATGTAAATGATGATGATGAACTTGCTAGCCTTTCAAAGTTGTCTAATCGAACTAACTGTAGGGAGGCGTTGGTATTGCTGATGCAGTATATCGTGCTTATTTCCAAGAAACCAATTTATTTCTTGTAATATCTATTTTTATTAAAGTTCAGAATTGACGTTGATTCTGCTTAGAAGTTGACGTATTTTGCAATGCCATGTGAAATGTTAAAGGGTCCGGAGACCCCCTTCTAAAACAGTAAATGGACACTTACCAAATATATCAGTTCCAACAGGTGCGTATCCAGCGAAAACCATTCCTTGGGAATGGTCAGATGTTACTATAACCAGAGTGTCTTCTCTGGAAGTGTAGTCCAAGGCCACACGGACAGCATTCTCCAAGTCGAGAGCTTCAGAAACGGCTCTCACTGCCTTACCGCTGTGATGCCTCTTGTCTATAAGGCCTCCTTCCACAAGTAAGAAAAAACCTTTACTGTTTTTTGAGAGAATCTTTATTGCTTTCTTAGTCATTTCAGCTAAGGTAGGTTCGTCAAAGTCTGATTTCTGATCCGGCCTGTCTGTCACATCATACATGTGAGCGGGTTCAAAAAGTCCTGCAAACAAATATTGGAGAAAGGTTCTTAGTATGCGTAAACTCTTTTTAAAATTAAGATTATAACATAATTACGATGATTATTATTATTAAATCGAATATAGTTGTACATTATAAAGAATTGGCAAAATTTTCAAAGCTTAAAAGCACCGCAGTGTTATAAATAAAAATGTTTACAAATGTGCAAATCCCAGAAAAGGTGTCCTAATATGGGTTAAAACCAAGATGCATAGGAACCAATTAGAATCATAGATTTTAAAAATCAAATCCTTAAAATTTTTACCTACTATGAAAAATTAGTAATCCAAACAACAAACATTCCCAAATCAAAATTCTTGATAGTCCAATCAAAACATTTTGATGGTTTATGTTGGTTTCAGTGCGATTTATCCCTTATGATCCCGATTGGTTCCAGTCCAAAATCATTTGATGGTAATCATCGTCCACCATTTTCCATTATGAGTTCATGGTTTTTGATATGCAAACAAATTTCCATCATTCCGTGATCGAAGATGCTACTTTAATACTATGATGGTTAACCATCAAGAGAAGTTTGATTCTCATGGACCAACACGACCATGGTTATTTATAGACAATTCTAAGACGAAATGGAATATTAAAAAAACATAAATTATTCACTCCCATTTGACAAAAAATAATGTACTTCAATGCCGAAATTAATTCCCAAAGAAGAATTTTTTCAAACACCATCCATGAACTTAAAGCAGCCAATAAAAGCTTTTGTATTCACCCTATAGTCGTTTCACTTGCGTCTTCTATTGTTTTTGGTTGATTCTATTACACACAATACTATAGGAGTGAAGCATATTTGGGAACGCATATCAGTTTCACTGTATCATCACACTGCAACATACCTCAGTCATACCATGAGCCAGAACTTATTATTTTATTATCCTGAATTTCTTTTTTATTATTATTTACATAAAAAGTCTATCCCATTCGGATTTATGACTATTATGTTTAACTACTCAACCTTGTTATTTTGAGCACAACCCAGAGTATAATAGAACTTTTGAATCCAGCATTGGAGCAAAGCCACTCGTAGAGGACTTTTTGCTGGAACTAACAAACGATTGCATTGCATGGAAAAGAAAATCGCGAACACTCCCACGGTTAACCCAAAGTCAAAAGCATCCTAAATCATCATGTCTAACACTGGAGATATTTCACCTAGATCTAGATCTGTAATCGGTGCGATCCGAGAGCAATAATCGAATCTACCACCTACTAACAGTATAAGAACCCTCGGATCGTCTCATAAGGGTGGCGAGCTCTCTACCGCTTGAGCCAAGCCTGTGGTCTTAAAAACCTGTTCTTTTCTAACTGATTGTCTCCACTATGTATTGAAAAATCCACTTACACATTAATTTTGCCTACACTTAACATAAATATGTAAGAAAAATGCCATTTTGTTCCAATCATCTTGTGGTGAGCATTTTAAAGTGTGGACAAAATTCTACAAATTTCTATTTTTATTTCGAACCATTTTATAAAGTCTTTTGCAGAAAACAAAGAAGTTGGCAACCCAATGATTTAAATGCCTTATAAATGTAAATGACATACCTAGGAGGTAATCTATTTTTTTAGGATCCACTTTTTCAAATTCTTTTTTATTCCAAACATAGCGATGTTTCTGTTTATTTTGTTCCCTGAGTTTTTTCCAGTCCTCAATAAGCTGACGATGATCTCCCCTTTTGCCTCGTTTCTCGGGATATTCCGGATCAAACGTTGTGTTAGACATTAAACCTTCACGTCCACCACCTAATATCACCTGCAAATCCGGAAAAAAAGACATTCGTGAAAAAAATGACAGTTTTGAAAAGGCTTGTGAAAAAATAATACCTTTGAGTAAACGCTATCAGAGATCTCTTTGGTTTTTATAAAGGTAGTAAATTTACATTAATTCTGGTAAGAATTCGTTAAAAGATATAACTTTAACGTTTAGGGTTAACATCACTTTAACGTTTAGGGTTAGCGTTAAGAGGAAACTACTAACTTGCAAGTTTTTGCCCGGGTAGTTCTCAACCAGTTGTCGGGCAATGTCTTTGCACATTAGACGATCGCCTTCGTTTTTGATGTTGCTGTCGAATTCCCACCATCTATCAGGACTATGTGCATATAAAGGAGCTGGTGTTGCATGTGTCACTCGCATATTTGTAACCAAGCCAACAGATTTTCCTGAGAATGCAAAGTTTTGAAATGACATTGTTCAATATTTAAAAAACGTAATAATGGATTTAAATAAAAGTCAAACAAAACATGATTATCAATAAACTGTTTCAAGCTTGAATTTTAAAACTTGGAGTTTTTTATTTTTTAAAGTAAGCGATATATTTTCTTAAACTAGTTCAAATTGAAAGGGAGCAATGAAAAATGTTAATATAAATATCTCAGAGAAACATAAGAAATGTGAATCTGAAAGCTCAACTGTGAAAGATCTTTTCCTCGATTGCTGAGATTGGCATTTAAGTCTAGAATCACCATATTTCCAATCGCCTAATTCTCCCAATTTTTTTCGGTTACGGAATCCATAATAATAAATTTCTTTTGGCGGAACCCTGACTTTATAAATTACATTTATTAAGATAATTGTGAACGTTATTACCTATAGAAGACTATTTTTTTAAATGTTTAATTTGAGGAATGAAGATTTTTCATCCGTATATCATTAATAATATTAAATTAGGTTTTATGTTCGACAGTTAAATTTGCAGCCCTTGTGCTGTATCTAGTCTAGTTATAAATTCGTTGTCTTGGTGTACATGCATAAGCTAAGAAGTTAATACAATAAATTAAATGATAGTTTACCTCGAAATGAAAACTAAAAAGAACTGCTATAATCGTTGAAAATGGTAATTAGGGAAACATAATTCTTTAATAAAGAATTTAGTTATTTTATTGTAATTTGAAAAGCTTGATGGGAAATACTAAGGCAATGTTTAATAAATGCTTGCTCTTTTCTTTATTTGTTCAACATATTGTTATTATAAATATTATATATTTTTTAATAAATATTACGAGGTGCATCCAGAAAGTAAGTTTCCCTAATTTTTTTTAAAAAAAGAACTCACACTTTCAAGAACATATTTATTGGCTACAAATATAGCAATGTTCCAGCTATTTTTCAACATAAGCAACACCAGAATTGAGACACTTGTCGTATCGTGGGATCAACTATTGTGTATCCCTATGTCGTAGAACTCTGCCGCCTGTGAATGGAACCAGCGTGTGACAGACGTCTGCAGCTCTTCATCGTTGCCAAAACAATCACCGGAGGACAGGAATTTCTCGAGGTGCAAGGAAACGTGAAAATCGCTGGGAGCAATATCAGGGGTGTAGGGTGGATGATCAAACAACTCCCAGCCGAATTCCGTCAAAACAGCTGCTGTGCGTTTTGCCGTATGTGGACAAACATTGTCATGGAGGAGCGCAACACGGGCATCAAGCATTCCACGACTCTTGTTTTGAATGGCACGTCACAAAATCCGCAGTGTTTCACAGTAACGGTAGACGTCTGTCACAGGCTGGTACCATTCACCGGCGGCAGAATTCTACGACAGAGGGATACAAAAGTTAATCCCACGATACGACAAGTGTTTCAATTCTGATGGTGGCTATGTTGAAATATAGCTTAAACATTACTGTACTTGTTGCCAATAAATATGTTCCTGAAATTGTGAGTTCTTTTTTTTAAAAAATTCGGGAAACTTAATTTCTGGATGCTCCTCGTATTTCTATTTCATTGTCATTTTACTTGCAATAATTTCATAAAGGCTATGGAAAGATTAAATAAATTATGAATTACAGATTGAATCTTAATATATTCGGAGGTTTCATAACTCATCACTGATTATTAAAATACTAGCTTGCGGAAGTCCTTTAACTCCTCAACGGAACCCTTTGGTTCCTTGGAACACCATTTGGGAACTGCTCTTCAAGAGCAACATAGCTTTTCTGGATGCCATTCTTTCATTTTTCATGGGTGCCATAAATCAAAGAAAATCAGATTGAAAAACATAGCCTAACGCAAACGATAACGTTATCCAAGAAAATAACTTTAATTTACGAAAATATTTAGAATTTTAGGTTTAAAAAACTGTTTAAAACCACTATTCTTAAATACTAAGCACCAACAGATATATTTTAGATGTGCATACAGTGACTGAAGTACTGGGACTAAGATTCTTGTTAATAACGAAATGATTATTTTCAAGTTATATTTTTGTAATAGTGTTACAAAGAATTTGGTAATATCTAAATATGGTTTTCCGTTGAAAAATGGTTATGATATTAAATTTCGATTTAATTAAATGATATAATTACATAATCTTAATTTTAAATTAATAAAAATATTATTTAAATTAATAATAATGTGAATAATTAAATTAATAATAATGTAAATAATTAAATTAATAAAAATTATGATCTCTATAAAAATATTAGTCTTTCACTATTAGTTCTCACGAGCTGTAGAATTAATAGACCCCTGCTAATAATAGTACAATAATTTGAAAATACATATTTCTGTTATAATGTTTCAAGGGATTCAGTCATATTTAAATATGGCTTTTAATTGAGAAAATCGATGTCATATTAAATTTCGGTTTAATTGAATGATATAATGCATAATTAATTTTAAATTAATCGCACGATGAAAAAAATATAATCAGTGCCTTTGTTTTATCCTCCTGAAAAGGAAGTTACAGTATTTATAGCATTAAAAGATGTGCTAAAGATGTGTTATGATACCATGTGTTTTCGCCTTTGCAATTAATTAAGAGGAACGAAAAGAAGAAAAAAGAAAACCAAACAAGACATAATAAAAAAAATCCTCCCATCCTTTTCACAACTTACACAAAAAACTAAAATAACGATGCTCGTAAAATAAAGAAATAAATCCATAAAAAATAATGCGACACACAGATCATCATCAAGTGTTCCACTCAGTGAGGTCACCGAAATTAAAACCCGAACTGAAAAAAAACGAGTTGAACTCGTAAAGCTGATTTGACTGAAGGAGATGAGAAACACTGTCATGGTGCGCCGAATATAGTTTTTTAAGTCAACATGATGGTTTTTGCTTTAGATAGGTGTAAAAACTTAACGTCTTTTAAGATTTATGACACTTGTGAGGATTTCCTTTTCACTAGGGCATGGTCTCTGTAAAAACATGATAGATAAATAGCCGTTTTCTGCGAATAACAAGGCCGTTTGGTTCCTCATTTGGATGTTACGTCAGACTGCTGTAGCACTTTTAACGCTTCATTTGAGGTTGGAATCTTTTTTAACTAAATGTAAAAGGCACTTGAAAGCCACTTTCGTAAATTTTTTTTAAAACTATTATATACTTGAGATTCACTACTTTAGACTGCGATGCATCCTCAGTAACTACTACTCTTAGAATCTGTTTTAAAAGTGTTTAAACTGCGTTATTTAACTTAGCATAGCTTCGTATTTCAAAATATGTAAGATAGAAATCAACAATGCGCGCAGTTCTGATCCAAAAAAAATTTTTTTTTTAAATGATAGTTTTTTTTGTTGTATCCGTCGTTGAACAGCCGACCCAATTTTGGGTTTACTACTGATGTTCAACTCCGTAGCCTTGTAATTTTGAAACCAATCCAGAAGACAAGGGAACTCCAGGATCAAGTATTGGGTAAAATTTGCCTTCGTAGAGAACTTTTTGATGGAACTAACCCGCATTTGCGTTGCATGGAGAGGCAGACCACGAGAACCTCCCACGTTTAGCCTGGCGGCAAAGGGACTCTAACCCATGATCGGACTACCACTGAGGATACGTCACACAGTCAGCACAGTTGCACGTCAGCACAGTGGTCGGTGCAAGGCAGATGCGGAATTCGTATTGATCTGCCATTGCCGGGATCCAACCCCGGTTCTCCTCATTGGAAGGCGAACGCTCTATCCCCTGAGCCATCGTGGCTCCGGTAGTTTGTTTTAAAATAAAAATTGATAGCTCTAGTTTTCATTGCTGTAAAACAAACACAATTTCCAATTTCTTTAAATTTTTAACTTATAGTGACAGCCAAAATATTTCTATTTCCCATAAAACTAATTGAGGATTGGTATGATTCTCTGTTCACTTTTTCTTTAACACGTTCACGCCGGGAAAAGTGAAAATACTAGTACGGGAAAAGAGAAAATACTGGTAGAAGAACTATTTCAATATTAGATAATATTCAGTTGATCTATTCTCAACAATAACAATTCACTGTAAGGAAATTTATCACGGCGAAGAAGCAATTCAGTATAAAAATTGCATCCGTTAAAAAAATTGGTAGTTATGGATTTTTATTATTTCCGGAAAAAAACTAAAAAATGAAATTTATTGTTACCAGTTTTTACTCCGGTGCGCTGCCAAGATGAGACAATCTAACGTGACCCACCGGTGGGTCACTCCGACGTTTTTAGTCGCTTGAGGTATTGATTACCATGATACTCTGGTATTTCCGTAGTTTTAAAAAATATTCTTCTAGTGGTAGCGAAGGTATTGTGCTACTATTGTAATAGTTGAAAATTACAGCCCAGCACTACATCTATATGATTTAAACCCATATATTAAAGACCGGTTAAATATATTTGTATGTTGTGGTGATTAAAATGATTATAAGTAGACTTGATAAAGTAAAGACAAAAATATTGTATATAATTTGTTACCACTTTAAAAAATAAAATTGCAAAAGTGAGGAATATTGGTTGTTTAGCGAAATGCTCTACATTTCCGATATAAGTTTAATTATAAATATTCTAGTCTTAATATCTTTTTCGTATGTTCGTCCCTTTTAAAAAATATATTGCACACAAGTATTGGAAAGAAATAATAAAATCACAATTTTCTTTCAAACCTCATGCAATTATCAAATAATGCAAAATTTTTTCCAGTGTTGCTAACCACTACGCTTTTATCAATTTGTTTTATAGAGTGGTAAAACTGAAATTCTTAGACTATTTAGTAATTTTGCAAACATTTTAAAAGCTTTACCATGGAGGAGTTGGAATAAAGTGGTTTCTAATATTAACTTTTGAATCATTTACATGAAGTGTTGTGAAAAATAACTTTAAATCAAACTAATAAAATAAAGAATCATACATTCAGACCTAAAATTAGCTACCACTAGAAAAAAATTTCCAACAAAGCGTAGAGAGTAGACAGACTTTCC